CCTATAATATACCTTTAAAAAAACCCTCATTTTATTTCTTATTAATCTTAATAAAGTAAAGAAGGAAGAGCATGGAAATCACACAAAGGTATTTAATTCAAACAGACAATCAAATTACTATTGCTTATGAAGTAATTTTTTTCATCATTAAAGTTTGCACCGTACTCTTGTCATATCTACCAAGTAGCATTTTTTTAAAACAACAACAACAGGAGTTTTGATGGCTTCATAACCTGTCTTAAGGCGTGCTGGCAAGAACAGAAATTAAATACATTATGTTCTTCATTTCTTTCAGATAATCTTCATTTTAACTACCTCTTCTTTTAAATGCATGCATTCAATGCAATGAATCCTATTAAGGCAGAGTGGAGGCAGACATCAATAATGGAACAAATAAATATGTATTAAGCATCTCTCTTGAAAACAATGTCATTATGAACAAAGTGTTACTCTTCCTGTAATTCATTCTAGTCATCCGTATTAATAGAATCAACATTTCTGTCAAGATGAATAGTAAAGTTAATGTTTGCTGCACCAGGAAGTTAATTTATTGCTGCCATTCATGCAGATAACAGCATCAGCATTAATTTTTGGTGTCTTATAGGTGTCAGAGCAAACTTCCGTGCTAAAAATAGGAGAGTGGAATTAGCAAAAGTCTCTTCCCAGCAACAATCTTAAACACCAGCCTGGATCAGGGAACTCATCATCCACATGTTAAACTTCCTGGATTCAGCCACTCAGGTGTAAACTTCAAAGAGAAGTATCTCCAATCCAAAATGTCAATTCCAATGCCATATTGAAAATGTGGTCTTTCTTTTGTGATTCATTCTTTTTTTCACTTCCTGGATGGAAGCCAGTGTAATCCTCATGGATGAGCTGCGTGGTTGTTGCATTTAGAGACTTTATGGGTTTACTTTCCATCACATTATCAACTCTCCAATGGTTTACAACTTCCTGATTTCCCCCCCCAATGGATTATGAAGGTCCAGTTCACAGCACTACCATATACAAACATGAAATGGGTCAACTGTGTCTTAAGGACAAGTGTGATATTCAAGATAAACTTAAAATGTTGAACAATTTCAGTTAGTTCTTTGTGTCTTCAATGGGCTACGTTTGGCAGCTGGTTATAACAAGAAGGCAGAATGTGTAGTCCTCCAGATGCTGCAGAGCTATAATTCCAGAGCTCCATCCACAATGACAATGGTAAGGGATACTAAGTGTAGGAGATAACCAGGCTGAACTGGAAGGAGGAGTCAAGCGCATCATCAGTTTGGAATCCCTTCGTGCCCACAAGAGATCTAAATTCATCTTTCCTTGAATTCTATTGACTCTTATCTACCACCAATTTACCCTGACCATTAGTATTACAGATTCTTGTAGAGAGCTAGCATGGAATAAACGGACACTCATTTGAACAACCTTGGTTCCTGGTTTCTTGCGCCTGACACTAAGCTCTGTCATCGACAAAATCTGTGCCAACATCCAGCTCGAGAATCCAAATAAAACTCCAGATTCATTCTGTTTCCAAAAATCTTACTGTTCATTGAAAACACTGCATGGTAATGTTGAAGCAAAACTAACTCAGAGGTTCCCAGACACCAGTTCATAGATAGGCATTGGCAGAGAAGATCCTTTTAAGTCTAGAATTAACAGGTAAAATACTTCATCATTTAAAAAAAAAATCAAGAAATCTTCAAGTAGGCCAGCCTTAGGTGAAATGAAGTAGAACTAATATTGAATTCTAAGAGATGGGGGAAAAATGTAGGCAGAAATTGTAATATTCATGAGAGCCATGAAATGCTGCCTAAAGCTGTGTATCTCAAGCATGGCTAACATAAAATCACACACCTTGTCTGGGGAAAAAAAAAACCCAAAACTTGACATTGTAGAAGTAGAAAACACTGTTTTAAGAGTGCTGGGTATTTTAATCCCAAAGTAGTCATTTTCTAGTAGGACGGAAAGGAAATTTTAACCCTTCAACCTCTATCTCTTTTATCCTTTAAGAAAATAATAATAATCTGCATAATTTGAAGTACATGAGCTCAGGGGCAAGTGGAGTGCTTATAATATCATACCCAGAGTCAAGATGAATGCATCAATTGCTCACTTTACGTCAGTCCAGCATCACCACTATTTCCAACAATAGCAGTAGCACTTAGATTTATACACCACTCCGTAGTGCTTTACAGCCTCCTCTAAGCAGTTTACAGAGTCAACATATTGCCGCCAACAATCTGGGTCCTCATTTTAACAACCTTGGAAGGGTGGAAGGCTGAGTCAATCTCGAACCCCATCAGGGTAGAACCCCAGGCTGTGGGCAGAGTTTGCCTGCAATACTGCATTCTAACCACTGCACCACCCACGGCTTGACAAGAAACTAATTCCTCTCCTCTCATTTTTCCATCCATCATCAGAAACCCTTTCTGTCTTCCGTTTAGAGAACATGACAAGTATTCTCCAGGTAAGAGAGAGGGAGAGAAAGAGGGAAAGAGATATATTTCTTCCCTACTGCCATCCACCATTTAGACCTGGAGGTTTGGCAACAGTACCTGGGAAATACAATTTTGCTTAACTATATTACAGTAGGCATTCAAATAACTACATTTTCAAATAGAAAACTTTGTTTTCTATCACTGAAGGCTAGACAAAAGTAGGGAATATTCTTGCCTCGTTTTTCTGAAACGACTCGCAACCAGCTGGACCATTTGAAAAAGAAAGAAAGAAATAGAATTGAAATGGGGGTGGGGGGTGGGCAAGGGAGCTTTATGGATTTAATTCTGCTTATATTTAAGCAAAGACAGTCTGAAGGGGAAGTATAATGGCCTATAGCAACTACCACTTGTATTGTTAGTCACTTGGGAGAAGAATACTGGGAAAGAGATAACAACAGATGAACAAACTCTATCGCTTGTTCTTTGTGAATCAGTGCGAAAATTTGAAAAATTCATCTTCCTCAAGTGCTATTTAGAAAGGAAGCAGGAAGAACATTTGGGAAAAGCCCAAAATTAATTCCTGCTAAAACCTGGTAAATGCTTGGCCCCAGCGAATAGCAAATGCTAATTATTTAAGAGATTTATATGATTAACAGTGTAAAGTTATCTTTGAAGCTTAACAAAACCACAATGGCATTCAACAGCTTTTCCTGAGTTGTCGATTTGATTATTAAAAAAAAACCACACACACATACAAAACAAAAAATCAACTCCTCTTAATGTGCTGTCTTTGAGCTCAACATTACTGAGTCACAAAAAACATGCAGACTTTTATATGTATCATGAGACATCTTATAACAAGGAGAGAAGCTTCGAGCACATGATCATCTGAAGCAGAACAACCTACAGATAGTTAAACTCAATATGCCTTCCAACTCATAATCCTTTTATTGTCTTGGAAGTACTGCTCAATAATAGAATTGGGTGCATAACATCTGGCTTCAATGCCATTAATGTACAGGAAGCACACTGACAAGACTAAGAATGGTTTTTTTTCCCATTCTTTTCCAGTGTGCAACATTATATAGTAACATTCCAGACAATTTGATCTAGGGTAAACTAGCTTTGTCTGCAAAAAAGGCATCACCCAGTGCAATAGGTGTACACTATGACACTTTCACACATAACTAACTAACTAACATAACTAACATAACTAACTAAGGATATAAGAGCCCTGGTGGTGCAGTGGTTAGGAAGCAGTATTGCAGGCTAACTCTGCCCACAGTCTGGAGTTCGATCCTGAAGGCTCAATGTTGACTCAGCCTTCCATACTTTGTGAGGTCAGCAAAATGAGTACCCAGATTATTGAGGGCAATATGCTGATGTTGTAACCTGCTCAGACAGTGTTCAAAGCACTAGGGGGCAGTATATAAGTCTAAGTGCTATTGCACTTGATTTGGGCATCCTTAAATTGGAAAATATCAATAAACTCAATGAATCTCATGAACCAGCATAGCTGAGCTTGATTTTTAGTTTCAACCCAACAACAGCTCCTCGTTGGGATGCAATGGGCACCTGCAGAACAGTGGGGGAGAACTTTGGCAACACAGCATTTTTCCAAAAAAAGAGGTTGGATTAAGAAACTGTGAAGTTCCGAACTGGATGAGGTAGAAGGAAGAGGTTCAGGGTAGCCACATCCTAGAATTTCTCAGGATCTATCTAGTAGGTTAGAAAATGGCAGACATGAAGAACTAGATCCACTCATGTAGAGTTCAAACCAGCTACTTTATCGTGGCATGCCTACTTCATAGGAATCTCCCCAGATTGGTCAGGTTCATCTGGGAAAGACTAGATAAGGCTCAAAGGCATTGGGTGTTTGTGTGTTTGTGTGTGTGTGTGTGTCAGACCGTGCCCTCTTGTTTTTACGTAATGACTCCAAGCTAATTCCCCACTTGAATCCTCCTCTTGACTGAGACAATTGCTCTCCAACAGAAAGTTATAGTTTAACTTGGCAAGAATCTGTCCATTAGGTTAAGCAAATAAAGGACTGAACTTGATTGGATTTCATTGGTCGTCTCTGGCCTTGGACCTGACACTCATGTTCTTACTATTCTCTGATGTCCTACTTCTGGTCAACCAATATAAGGTGTTCTTTTATTATTTTTTTATAAAGCCTCATTGGCTTTCCATTTCTCATATGATGTCATTGCAATCTTGGAAGCCTTACTGAACCTACTTTGAAAAATGAAGAGGATTAGAAAGAGACAAATTAAAACATTTTTGTTTCTGTGCCTTGTTTTTTTATTGTTAATGAAAAGTTGGACGATTTATTACTGTGTCCAATTCAAAAGTATAAATTGCTTTTCAGGGTATATGTTGATACAGCACAGGTAGGTAGTCGTACCCTTTTAAGACAATATATCTGGCAGTCAAAAATCTTAAATTTACTTAACAATGGTTATCTTAACTATACCAGCAACAACAAACAGGATATTCTTTCTCTGTTTCAATTTAAAAAAAATGTGCTCATTTGATCAATAAACTCAACAATTATTTGCCTCCAAGTTAGAGATTCCGTTTGGCAATATTTATAATTATATGAGAATCTCTGTTATTGCTGTTGTTTTCAAAATCTACCTGCACATTCAGATGCAAATTGTAGTAGCCTGACTGATCCTGAATACCTATATGCGCTAATACAAACACAATCAGCTAATGTCGTGATCTACCCTAGATTTTTTTTTTTAAGTGCCACCATATTTACTCACATAAGGCTGGGGGATTAAAAGAAAAAAAGCTTTAGACCCTAGGGTTCCGAAATGAAAATAGAATTAATCACAGTTTATAAAATAAAACTTCACACATTATTTCATTTTGCCATCTGTCTTACATTCTTTCCCCCTTCAACCAACCTGCAGGAGATTAATTCTCCCAGGATCTACAGATCTTGGGATAGTGATTAGTATTGCCACAAAAGAGCCATATATTGCAAGACTATTCACAACATAGATGATTCAGCCAACTGTCATGGGGGTGATACACAATATAGCTGCTGTGCAAGCAAGCCATTTCAATGACAAATCTGATTTTAATCATTTTTCTGAGCTAGTATGTGTCAAAGGAAGACCTTGGAAAACCAGCACCGAAAAAAAGATCTTAGAAAATCAGGTCTCAGGGTGTGAACTTATTTGATAATGTGCTGCAGGTCAACACATTGACCTATACTGTTGAACCCAATTAATTGCAGATAGAATGTTTCTAATGTGTCTCAAAGGAGGCCTAAGAATGCTTTGAGGTCTCTGCCTATTGGGCTTTGTCCTTCTGATTAAGGAGTCCCCATATTGTGTCATTTCCTCCCAACACAGAGACATGTTTATAAACGCACAATATCTTAGAAAACATTGTATCATGAAAACTAGAGTAATTATCCCACATTTTCAAAAGGTAAAGCCAACACAGTGCTATGCTGCACTAACAGAGGGATAGAATCAAGATCACATGAAGTGTTAATACCACTTTAAAATGCCTTGGTCAGGCCACACTTGGAATACTGCATCCAGTTTTGATCACCACGATGTAAAAAAGATGTTGAGATTCTAGAAAGAGTCCAGAGAAGAGCAACAAAGATGATTAGGGGACTGGAGGCTAAAACATATAAGGAACGGTTGCTGGAATTGGGTATGTCTAGTTTAATGAAGAGAAAGACGAGGGGGGACATGATAGCAGTGTTCCAGTATCTAAGGGATTGCCCAAAGAAGAGGGAGTCAAGCTATTCTCCAAAGCACCTGAAGGCAGGACAAGAAACAACGGATGGAAACTCATCAAGGAGAGAAGCAACCTAGAACTAAGGAGAAATTTCCTGACAGTTAGAACAATTAACCAGTGGAACAACCTGCCTCCAGAAGCGGTGAATGCTCCAACACTGGAAGTTTTTAAGAAGAGACTGGACAGCCATTTGTCTGAAATGGTCTAGGGTTGGACTAGAAGACCACCAAGGTCTCTTCCAACTCTATTATTATTATTATTATTATTATTATTATTATTATTATTATTATTATTATTATTATTATTATTATTATTATTATTATTATTATTATTATTATTGGCATAAATATCCAAAAGAGATATATAGATATATAGATATAGATAGATAGATAGATGATAGATAGATAGATAGATAGATAGATAGATAGATAGATAGATGGATGGATGGATGGATGGATGGATGGATGGATGGATGGATGGATGATATGATATAGAAATTAGACATAGATATATAGATATAGATATAGATATAGATATAGATAGTTGTATATAGATATATAGTTACTGTATATAGATATATAGTTACTGTATATAGATATAGATATATAGTTATAGATATAGATATAGATATATATAGATATATATTTACAGATATAGATATAGATATAGTTATAAATATATAGACATATAGATATATAGATATGTAGATATATATAGACAATAGAGAGCTAGAGGGAGAACAAGTGAGCGAGCAATAGAGAGAGGGGGGGGGGGTTGGTTGTTTGTTTTTTGCAACACTGGGATTATCCAGTTCATATAGGCATTAGAAGGAATTATTTAAATTCGAGAAGAAAAATGAAGGATGCTATTTCAGTTTGGGAGAAAGGTAAGAAATGTAGAGCCAGCCTTACTCCTAGGCAAAGAGAGAGCGAGAGAGCTGTTGTTCCTAAGCTTCCCAAACTTTTCATGCCCCAGAAAAGAGTGTTCTTTTTACCGCTAGCCCATATCACATTCCTTAATAGGCATCTCCTTCAAGGATTATGGATATATATGCTAGCGGACTGGCAGAGTGGAAGTAAAATTCAGTTGCAAGGTTGGTGTTTCCAAGTGAGACAGAGGGGTGATGTATTGCTATACCCTTACCCTCAGGCAGCGAAATGACTTACAGAAATTCAGTGTATTACACATTCACACAAAGAGATCAGGTTGTGGCAGGGTCTTCCCAACTTTCTGCTAAAGCATGAGCTCATAGGGCTCACAACCTGCTTTAAATCGGGACTCTCTCAACTCAAGTATTCCCCAGGAAGAAAACACCCAGTTGCCTTTTACAAGCCTGCCTGAAGGGAAGATCACGCCAGAAATCACTTTTGTGGGTGGAATATATGTAAGATAGTATGAGAAAGAAATGCAGAGGTGGTTTTTTTTTAATATGATATGACACTGATAGAATTGGGGTATCTAAAGTTTAGGCATTTTTTGGACAACCCAGACAAAAATAAAATAGATAAATAAATACACAGATAAACAAGATGGAACACCACAGATCATCTTTAATAGGAAGCAGCTCCAAGCAGGATCTGCAATAAAGAAACACACAACTTTTGTGCCCATCATAGATCACCCAGGACCATGCTTATCAATCTCCAGTATGTCAGTCCCACATCACTTGTAATAACCAAGAAACACATTTTCAGTCTATAGCTCTGATGAGTCTTGCCACTCAATATCTTCAAATGTTTCTTATGGTTTACCAGCTTTGTTAATTCAGCTATAGGTTCTTGTAGAGCACTGGACTTACTTGACTAACTTATAACGATCAAATTCCACCATAATGGTGTCATGAAGAACCAACCAACTTGTTTATATTTCAGAGTGTAGGAATGTAGGATATATCAGTCATACAAAGACTGGGACTATCCTTCCATTGGTCACTGATTATCCTGGTATCATGGTTTAAAGACTTAAAACAGGAGAGGAAATCAGGGCAGAACCCCCCTCCCCAATATATTTATGAGCAATCATTAATTCAACCAATATTGCAGTCTTTCCATTTTTCTTCTAAAAGACCTTGGACTTGAATATTTCAAAAAATGGCATATACTTCTATTGAGCAGTATCTTTACCACAAATTCATCTCAGAGGCCATGTTCAGGATATAAGATACTTTTAATTTAGTTTGTTATGATATGTATTAAATATTCAATAGGCAGAATAAATGTGTTGTTTTTTATTAGGATCACTGGGGTTCACTTGGATAATCTTCTTTCAAACCTATCCACTTTTCTTAGTCCAGTGATAAAATTGTTTCACCTTTTTAAACAAATATGTCCTAAGTAATCCTTTTAAGATTTCAAATTTTATTTTCATATCCCTTTCCATAATGATGATTAGCAGTATATAAAACATTCCAGCCACGTAGGAAGTGTTTTAGTGCTATTCTTATTTCTCAGGAAGCATTTGACATTTGAAACAAAGCATTTTTAATCTGAAACTTCAGCATCTTTCTAACGATCTGCCTAGCTTAGGAATTGCTTTACAAATTGCAGAAGAATGAGATACAAGTAAAGCAAGCATATTAATATATATTAATGATGGTGAGAAAGGGAAATTAGGTTTTCTTTTTTTTTTCATGGAGCCTAGAACTATATTCCAGGAATCTAAATTACACAACCTAGATGTTTTTTTTTTATTGGCACTTAATAGAACATGCTACAGCATCTGCTACTATTGGATTATACCTACAGACCCATTAGAGTGAATATTACTAAATGGAATCATTGTCAACACAACATAAAGAACCTATTGCAATGCCTGTAAAAGGTAAAATTCGAATCGTAGCCAATACACACGTGGAACAATTTATTTGTTATTTGTGGCGGAGGGGAATTCTGTTTGTCTATCTGTCTATTTACCTACCTATTTCTATCATCTCAATCTCTACGTATTGATTATCTCTCTCTCTACCTCTATCTCTGTCTCTCTCTTTCTATCTATCTACTGTATCTATTTATCTATTGCTATCACTATCAATCATTATTGCTATGTCTATCATCTTTACTTCTCTATCAATCTGTTCTATCTCTTTGTCACATCTATATCTATCATCCATCATCTCTTTCATCAGCCACCATGAATTTTGTTATTTGAATTCTACAAGCCAATATTTTCATATCAACTATGCCCACTATTTAAGTGGGCCTATTTAAATTTGCCTATTCCTACTTAGCCCAAGCAAAGACAATGCTGAATAGAAGACTTCCTAAAAAATGGGAATATTAGGGTGGGAAAAAGCTGCCTCCATCATCATGTTCTCACCAACTCTGTTGTTCTGTTGTGTTCTGTTCTGTTCTGTTGTGTTCTGTTTTGTAAGACTATGGTTTTGAGATGAACTGTAGAATTTTAGGATTTTTTTTATTTCCATTCTTCTTTCCAGATACTTAGGTTTTGCTAGAACAACCCAACTGATCAGTTATCTAGCTGAGATCATTTCTCTCCCCCTAAGTAATTCCTAGCCTAGACAAGTGGCCTTAATGAAATGAAATGCAATAGACTGAGAGATAAAGGTCATATTTGAATGAGAAAATAAAGGTAGGGGAGGAAAAATGATCTGACCTGGACAAATAATTGACAAAACTGGCTCTATATAGAACTGGGAAGTACAAGAAACAGAAGGGAGGTTTCCTGTAACATTTATATCTATGATGGGAATGCAATAGATGATTAAATTAACGATGCCGCCTAAATCATACTGTTGTTTTCCATTATTTTTGTGATGAAAATTGTATCTGGAAGCATTTTAATTTGAAAATAGGACAGGTGTAGGTTAAACTCAAGCTACCTTTAGATTATAGCATGATTAAGGTGTGTTAAACTAAATAATATTGCTATAAATTAAAAATAATAATAATAATAATATAAA